AAGTTTGTTTCTTGTGAACCGGGTTTTGGGATGGAGGAACAGGAGATTTGGGCTTGTTTAAAGGATTCTGTGTTTTGAGGCTCTTCTGAAAAACATTGGGAGAGGGACAACACCAGAAACCCTCTGGGGTCACAGCAATTGGAACATTCCTAATTTTGGTTTGGCCTTGTTCTACCTTTCTAACTCTAATTTCAGCCATTCTTGGCAAAACTCAAAGCACAATTAATTCACTTATAATGGCATTTCCAATGACAACAAGACTGGACACCTAAAGACTAAACAATGGCTTCAACGTCCACTATATGTTATCAGGTTGATAACTCAGAACTGAGAAACTATTTGATTATAAGAATGAAAATATCAGGATTGTGACAAAACATCAAAAGACCTCATTTTTCCTCCTTCTAAACCAATTCTACTGCAAAACTTAACAATAAAGAAAAAAAAGTTTCTTTCTTTATTAATCTGAAAGAGGACAGCAAACAAAAGATTAAACCTTTAATAGTATAGGTCTCAAGAAACAAACACAATTACAAAAAAGAAAGAATTTTTGAAACTCACCAGTCCCAAGAGCTTCTTAAAAAGCAGGAGAAAGGGATTCTTGAAACACCCAACTCGAGGAAATTGTTAAAGAAAAGAACAAACACTCACCTACAAACAGAAGAGCTATATCTGAGAATTTTTTGAAACTCAATATCTATCTTCAATTTTAAGAGTCCAAGAGAGCCACTGAAAATGATTGAGTGTAGCTTTGATGTCAAGCATCAAGGGAACCACTAAAACAGAAGATTTAACAGAGTGGAATGATGAGTTCCTATATGTTTATATATATTTTGGAATTTTAAATTAAATAAAAAAGAATTGGGGTCCAAATGAAATATAAAGAAAACACGACACAAAGCGAGAGTGATGGCTTATGCGCTGTGTTTTGCAACTTTATCGCTTTGTCTCACTGATGATGCTTTTCTTTTTTTTCTTTTCTGTTTTAATGACACTGTACGTAGTTGTGGGTCTGAGAATTTTATCCTCTCTCTCACACAGACACACACTAAGAAGAGACACTCTTTGTCTCTCTACAACTGAATGATCAAACGAGACAGGCATGCATTTGGGTTGTCTTCTCAAAGTCCTAATCTTGCTTTTGCTTTTTTTGTTTTTTCTTCCTCATTTTTTTTTTAGAAAAAAAAAAAAGATTTTCTCTGTTTGCTTTTCTGGGTCTTTGCAGGATTGATTCTCCTTAAATTATTAATATAAAAAGAATAGGAATTTTGAGAAAAGGAAATCACTATCGTTTTCAAACAAAACATGTACATTGAAGTTAACGAAATGACAATATTAGCCTCAGGGCCGGCTCTAATGTAGATCCAAGTAAGGCTTTCCCTTAGCCCCCCAAATTTTGAGGGTTTAATTTTTTAAAAATAATATATTAAAAAAATAATATTTAGCACTTTTTGTATAAAAATAGAATTTTGCTATAACAGTTGCCTCAAAGAAAAAAAGTTTTCAAGATTATAATTGATAAAATCTTACCTAAGATTGACAATGTCTCGAGATAGATTAAATTTGTTGGCTATATTATCAATTGAAAAGAAATTATTAGAGAAAATCGATTAATATAAAAAATAATTTTTATAAAAAAAATTAGGCTTCACATTAACTTTGGAGACCACACATATGTTTGAGCCGCCCCTGATTAGCCACGAAGCATCTCCAAAAGTAATATTATAAGACCAGATGTAATAATCCTAATCGAATTTAAGTTTTATATATGTGTAAAATTCTTCATTATTAATTAAGTTGATTGTTGAAATCAAGATTTTTATTAAGGAATGTCAAAATATAAAAAATTCAATACATAAAAAAAAACTACAAAAATTCAATAATATAATATATGTGCATAAAATAAATGATTTCACCTAGTAACACTGTATTTTTCGATAAATTAAAAGGGTATCATTTAAACGTGACTCCGACACAACCTACAAATAACTTCGTACTAAACCTAATATAGTAAACCTCGTAAATAATATAACAACCTACTATATCTAGTTAAATTACAGAATCAATTAGTAGAAGTGTATATAACTAAAATTCCAATTGTTTTTGTGTGGCGGGGTGGGGGTGGAGCGGTAATTTGGGCATCTTGATGTTGAGAAAAATGAAAATGGTACACAACTTTGCCGTAGGGATAAAGGAAAGAAATTAATGGATGGAACTCCAAGAAGTGGACTTATATGGGGTACCATTAATTTTTCCTTTTATTAAAAGCATCTTTGATTCTTGACTATTGAAATCTGCATGTGGGTATACGTAAAGCAAAGCTTGCCATTTCTAGTTTTGTGCCCTTTCTTTGTTGAAAATAGCATTAGTTGTATTGGTATTGAGTAAGTTTTGACCAAGGGAAGAGGGAACTTAATACTAGTAAGCATTAAGCATAACAAGAGAGAGGTATTTAAAGTTGACAATATCAAAACCATAGTTTTGGTTTCTTTTTCCAACTCTTTTCTGTCTCTACCCACTAACTACTAAAGAGTAAAGTCCGTAAAAATTAATTATCATTTGTACGTATGGAGTAATTGACATAAAGATGACTTTTGTCATGATTGGAGTTTGGCCAACAAACTCACTACTCGACAAATATTATTGCCACTAACATCAGTTACTGCTTAATCTTAGTTGTTTATCATAATGGAGTGGGGCTAGCAACTTGGCGCTTAACTGGGATAGATTATAGACTCATTGCATACGTTACTGCTAGAGAGGAAAAATGGTTAAAAGAAAATAGTTAACCACTGATATTATTCACTAAAAATTTAGTGAATTTAATAATGAACTTTTTAAAAATGGGGTAAATATGGATAAGAATCATATTATTCATTTAGAAAATGGATAATCCATGAATAACTATTGAGTTTAACTTTTACATTTATAAAGCCTCAAATTATGGGTTCCTCAAATTTGGGAGATTAGGAATTCTCCCAAAAATGATCATATTCAAGAAGCCATGAATAATTTTTTTATCCGTATTAAATATGGATCGAGTCAGATAATTTATCCGTTTTTTCATTAACCATTTTGACGCGTCTCATATCTGACTCGACCCTTTTGGCACCCCTAGTTATTTTGACTCATTCCCCCAACTACCTTAAAAAGTAAAAAATTACTTATCAACTCAAATATTTAAATCTTAGCCGTTATTAAAAAAAAAAAAGTGAGATCACGAATCAATAGGACAACGCAATAGTAAAAGAGGGTGCAATGCATAGGGCTTTTAAACTTTGTTTCCAAGGAATATGAAAAGAGAATAGGGGAAGGGGACCAATGTTATCTTTAGGAACATGCGCTATGGCTTGTTGGGCAAGTGCAATTATAGGATGTGCAAAGTGATGATGACTATGTGGGTACATTCCGATTTTTTATATTATGTTATAATATATGTTCTTTATACAACATTTCAGTCTAGACTGTTATTACAAAAATATGATTGTAGTTAGAGAATGAGAAAAATGAAGCAGGCATGTTGTTATCATGAATAGCAGTGTCCAAAAAGAAGTCCATACCTAAGCCTAAGCATATATCACTTTGATATAATATTGACCCCATTTATTGGCATTTTCTATCATTCTAATTATAACTCTAATTCTTTTGTATGCTACATGTGGGGTGTGGTATCTTACAAAATCTGTGTGCCTCACTTGAAAACAGCCTTACTTAACCCCACCTTCATCGTGGGAATGGACTTTGTTTAAGAATCTGATGATATTCCTGTGTTGGCGGAGGACACATATGCTTAGAGCTTTAGTTTATTAGCCAATTATTTTTAAATACCCTAGATCACATTGCCTTTCTTTGTTTTCAATTTTAGATTCCAAATCTGTTTTCGATAAATAGATGTTCATCTTCTAATTGATTGTATTCAAAAACCATGTAAAATAACCAAAGAAAAATGAATTTAATTTTTAAACAAAATATTGGCGTTTAAATTAGCAAGAGGATATAAAATTAAAATAGCACAGTCTAGTCAGTTTTCGGACTGGTCATTCAAAATTAGTAAGCGTTTGTCAAGTCATTGAAAAATAGCCACTATTTTGCTGCAACAGAGACCGGTCCAGCATAATATACTGGAGTTCGATGCACCTGTGTATGAACTTCCAGCATATTATGTTGGACCGGTATACTTTGCTGGCTCCAGTATATTATGCTGGACCGGTATATTATACTGAAACTTTAGTATATTATGCTGGAGTATTTTTTCGGATTTTGAACAGTGCTTTCGTTCAGATTTATCTTTACATGAAAAGTGGCTAAATTTCGATTACTTTTGAAACGGTGGCTATTTTTGAATGACCACTTATAAATCTGGCTATTTTTGAATTTCTCCCGGATATAAATTACACTTTGAGCCCGTATGGCCATGAAATTTTTTCACTTGTTTTCGAAAAAAAATCACTTTTTTCGAAATCAGTGTTTCGTTATAAAATTTTCAATTTTCACTTGAAGATGAATTTTAGAATTTTTCGAAAATTTGAAAAATTCCAAAAAGGTGTGTTTCAAAATTTTCGCTCAAATCACTCACAAAAATTCAAAAACAACCCAAAGTTATATTCTTTTTTTTTTTTGGTAAATAAAGACTTTTAATTATAAACATAGTTCTTAATAGTCATTGCAACATGAGATTTGCCTAGGCCACAAGGTGCCTATTCCATCTCTACCAAAAACTGAAATAGCAAAAGCGGGGGATAATAATACAACGTTAAATTAGCAAAAGAGTCCAAGTTGCATCCATTCTTGGCTAATCCAAAGTTATATTCATGTTCAAACACAACTCTAATTTTCAAATACCATTTCCACTTGAATTTTTTTTTTTTTTTCGGAATTTTACAATTTCTTATGTCCAAACGCCCACTTAATTTAGCAATATCACCATTATTAAATAGTATACTACCTGTTATCGCAAGAATAAAAGGAAAACTGCTTTTGTTTCTTTGTTCTCTAAAGAAAAGGTAGTGCAATTAGTTTCAGTTCTAGACATAGATGAAAGAAAGTCAAAACATAAAAATTTGGTGAAAGTGAATAATCTCCATTTCTTGGAGAATTATTAGAGAGGAGCAGGTTCCTTATAATCCTTTATTGACAGTTAGCTTTGTCAATTATTCTAAGGCCATGGAAGTCAATAGAGAAAGCATAGTCTGAGGCCAACTTACATTAACTAGTGATTCATGTAAAACTGTTGAGAGAAATGAGGAAAATTAAAAACAAAAAAAAACTCCAGAACACAGAGAGAAACAAACAAAGTAGATGTAAAATCCTAGTCAACTTCATAACATAATAAAATAAAGTTTTTGTTATTAATGAAGAGTAGGACAACTTTTGCTGAATTTACTCTTAGATGGATTGGGCTAGATAGAGCCACAACTGCAAAAGGAAAGTCAATGCTTTACGTGAATAACAATAGATCCAAACATGGAAGCAGAATCATCTTCTCAAAAACCTCATATGCAAATGGCAGCAACAAGAATTTCAGTTTCTAGCTGCCCTTCACTTTTAATGGCCTTCCTTTTTGCTTTGTCTGCCTCTTTCCAATTCAATGATCCTGGTAATCCTGTTCTATTTTCTTTTAGCTATTTCTCTTACTCTTATTGAGATTCCCAAGTGTTTCATCAGTAGGTTTTTTTTTTTTGAGGGATTTTCCTTGGTTTCAGATTGGTATTTGTGGTTTCCTCTATATGCAATGGCTTGCCTTGTCAACATGGTCAATGGAGTCCCTAAAGTCACAAAAACAGCCAAAATTGCACTCTTGATGGGAATCATCTTATTCCTCAAAGTTGTCATTGAAGATGTTCGTTTTCATCAAGGAATAACTGGACTTTGGTCGTTCGATATGAGGGAAAGAGTTGTGAGGGAAAAGCTTGGAAGTGGACTTGTTATTCTTTCCATGTCTTTACAACTGCTAAAATCAGACATTAATAATCCCTCACTTGCAAACCATGTTGAATTTGGTAATTTTCCTAAATGTCTTATAATTTTTTTGTTTGATTCTCGTATGGGTATTAGTTTTAGCTTTTTATTCTATTGCTTGTGCATCTGTTTTTTTATTGCAGGACAATCGATGTTGGTTGCAATAGGTTATGGCCTGTCCGTTGCTTTCTTCTTATTCTCAAAGCCAGAAATGAAGTTTTAATCTCACTGTCCTCTTCCCTTTTGTAAATACAAGTAATAACAACTCCCACAGTGTACTCATCCTTCACATAAAGTATATACTGTCCTCTTTGAACAGCAATTTGTAGAGATTTAACATCCTAACTGTAGGGGTTCTTTGGGGGAAGGGGTTTATCCTTATGGTGAGAATGATAATAACCCTAGGGTTTACCAATTTTCAACTGTCCAAAAAGGATAAAATGATTAATTCCTAGACCATCGCATAACCATACATATCAGATAACCTGCTGCAACTATCAGAGTGGAAATTGACCATACCGACATTTCTGATTAAAATGGAGTTACTACAGAGGAAGAAAAATGAAATAGGAAAAGCTACAAAAACCTATGGTAGTAAAATTCAATACTACATCACAGATGGGTGTGACAAACTAGGTCATAGAAAACCCATTTGATATTTCCTAAGGAAACCTAAGGACATTTACAAACTTTTCGCTTCCTGCAAGAAACACACCAGGCCTCTGCATTCCAATCTCTACAGTTTTTATTGCATGAGGCTTTGAATGCACAACATGTTAAGCATCAGAGAATTTAGTAAAGACGTCCCCTGCAATTGGAAGATCCACACAGGCATGGAGACCCTTCTCCAGGCAATAGTTTGTATCTGTAATTATAGGTCAGTTCTTCACCTGCAAGTATCTGCTCAAGAAGTCGAGGGGCCACAATGAGTCAGAGCCACAAAAGGCAAAGTGAAGGAGGGGGGAAAACATATCAGAGCCGTAAAGAGTAAAAACTTACCCTCACCCGTTGTTCACACCAAATCAATGATTGGAAGACACGTGTCGTGCATACCCCACACTTACCAGTTAATCATGGTTAATTGGCATGTATTCTTTCTTAATTTTCAATTCCTATGGTTAAATTGCATGATTTGATGTAAGCACCAGGTGCGGGTAAGTTTTAGCAAGATGAATTCAAGTACCCAAATTTTCCAGTTCAACAAAGAACGTAAGGACGAACAGTGATCTTTATCTTTTCAAAATCTTAGTGATCATAAAATTGTGCATGGTTACTGGACCAATATCTACCAAAGAGGAGAGAGAACATACATCTCGACTTGCATAAAAACCAACGTGTGCAAGCTGATAATCCATGCTTTCCACAAGAACTTGATAATTCACGAGATTCGGCGAGCAACTAAAGTAGCAACAAATAAGAAACCAAAACTCTGTAAGAAATTAACTGAAAGCAATGTGAAACAAAATCACACACCAACTCATCACCAACAGCAGGAAACACAAATCAGATACAAAAACTCGGCACAATCATCAAATAATTTTCAGTTATATATATTTAATTCTCTCAGCAATACCCAGGTGGGAGCACAGAAAGGCAGAAGAGAGAAAGAGTTGTAGGAGCACTCAATGATCACCTCAATAACCTAATGTTTTAGAACAAATTTAGTGGAATTGAAAACAAGAAATTATGCATTGTACACAGTGGCAGCAAACAAACTGATCACTAGAGTATATTGGCCGAGCAAATATTCAGAACATAAAAGGACAACCAAACAGTTAATTAGTTAGTGTATCTTCATTGTGATGGTATTCTTGCAGACCACTTAACAGTGCTTTAGGTAAAGGAAGACCTCCTTTCTTTATGCCAAGTTGGAGTAGAACTTAATAGAATTTTTACTAGTAACTGAAATTTGATTGTCTTATTGCAATAAATATATTTGTTGGCTTAATTTACTGACCATTTTAAGTGCCACTTGGCATTATAAAGCAACTTTGAGTTGAGATATTCCATCTCATCCAAAAAAGTTGTTAAGTATTAGTATCCCACATTGGTTTGTGCATGAGTAGTAATCTCCTCATATGGTCTTGGACATTCCCACAACTTGGGCTAGCTTTTGGGGCGAGTTCGATCCAAGATCCATATTCGAACCATTCGTATCAGAGCCGCTTCTCAAAGTTGGTTCACCCATGAATCATGATATGTTACTTATCACTCCAAATATCCAAGCTCCGGCCCACGTTGGTTAAGTGTACTAGGATGTAGTCCTCTTATATGGTCTTGGACAACCTCACCACTTGAGCTAGTTTTTGGAGTGAGTTAGACCAAGGTCCATTTTCTCAACAAAAAGAATGGACCAAAGTAAGCGAAAGCAGAGGGAAGAAGAGGAAAAAGAACATGGAATGAGCTTAATCAAGGATCTAGTTAACCTCGGGTCAAGCTCAACCATTAGCAAGGAGAGTTTATTTACTTTTTTGATAAGAATGATTTCACCCATCACATATTGATGAATTCCTTATCAAAGACATGTTTGCATGCTTAAAAAATGTGATACATTACAGAATTCCAAAAACTCAAGTAAAAGCTAGGTAAGTGTGACTTATTTGATAAACTCAAGGGCAAATATACAGGGGTATCTCCATGTGATAGTATTTTATCTATGTTGGCAAGCTCGACATTTTCACATTTTGTATCAGATTATCACAAACAGCTTACTAAAGATATACATTATAAAGAAACGTAGTGTTTTCTTCATGCCCATAGGCCATAACGTCATCTATCCTAGGACTATTTCAAAACATTGTGCCTCACTATCCATGCCGACCTTACATCAAAAATACATTTTTCAAGCCACTGATTAACTTTCCATCAAATCTAAGAACTTCATTAGCAACTGCTTACTGATTTTGATGTATTTATCATCAAGATATAGTTCAGTTAACCTTTGTCTGTGAATAAATGCGTGGGCTGATAAATCAAGCTTGAAGCTTTATTCTCTTCATTACTTAAACAAGTTAGCCAAAAATGCAACTAACCTGGTCTTTGCCTTTACTTTTACACTATTATAGAAGCTGATGTCCGAATATAATGCAAATTGACACAGTTATAACCACATTGAAATTAAATCAAATCAAGAAGAGAGTTGCAATAGTACCTGTGGTTGATGTAACGGGAAACGTTTCCATAGTTAGTAGCATCAATTACATATGGCGCTTGCCCTTCAATCAGTCTGCTCATATCATTGACGTGAGCATCTATCTCCAAGATGTACCCGCAACCTTCTCTTCCATAACTACTCAAATAGGAAGAAGCCAGACATAAATAAGGTGCAATAAAATGCAACAAAGCAATTTACCAAGTAGAATGTGTGCCAACCTATTGCGTCTTTTATTTGCTTCCTGCTCATCAAGTACCTCTCCGACATATTCACACACAAATGTACCGCGAAGGATTGCTTCTCTTGCCCTGACTGCCCATCCCTGTGAGCCAAAATGGTAAATAGCTAGAGAAACTAACCTCTTAATAATTTCAGAGCATTACCTTTGTCTCGGTTTTGTATATTTCTAGCTTCACACGCAATCCATTCTGCAAAACCCGATTCTGGCAAGATTTACTGCAAGAGCACCATTGATTGCATTCATAGACTAGGTAGCCCTCCTGATAATAAAGTTAGACAATCAGGCAGAAATATGCTAATCGAATCAAGCACATCCTACAAAATTTCTAGCATCATGTATGGTGATTGTAGTTACACTCTCTCAGCCAACACAGTTATCAGACAAATCCAGGTTATTGAGCAGAAGATAGTACACAAGGCATCCTAGAGTAAGTATCAGCAAAAATCTCTAACGAACTACCAAAGTCGTAAGAATATGCAACACTAATCAAAAGAAAGTATCTTTTACCTCCAACATTATCCGACCTCTCTCATCATACGGGAACCTTCCACACATAGGCTTCCCATAAATATCTTTTGCGTCCTCGTAGTCATTATCAAAAAGATAAATATGATTACAAGTTTGAGAAGAGCATGCTGAATTTGGACAAGAACACCCCAATTGGTAACTCTGCCATAAAATAGAAAAAACTAAATTTAGAGAGGAGAGAGAGAGAATTCAACAACTTAAGATTATGAAAACCACTTGTTCTGGTGCTTGGCCGGATGAAATGGAAGTTGCATGGCTAGTAGAAGTCAAAAGAAGTTACCCCTATTTCAAGACCAACGGATTGATCAATCAACGATTTGGTTACATAAGTAAAGCTCTCCCAAGGAAGAGAACTCGTGGTAATTTGGCCATCGGAACCATCAGCAAGAATGTGGAGGGAGGCAAAAAGATTTTCTTCCACCACACAAGTTATCGGAACTGATTCCTGTTCAAAGCTTATGTCATCACACAAGAGAATAGTTTTGTCGGACGGTTCATGCTTGAACTGTTGAGAATCAATGACGTAGTGACACTCATCCATTGTCCACTCACTAATAGTGAAATTTGGTCGAATACTGCTGGTTCTATTCACTTGACCAGGAAGGGGAAGTAATGAGGATACTATGCAAGGATCACGAACAGGTGTACATCCTTTGGGGCAAATGAAACCATCTTGGTGCCAGCTTACAAGGATATTCTGCTCACTACACAATTTTGCTGCTTTGAGATACATGCGCTCCGGCAAAATTCCATAGGTTGCTTCTAGTGAGGCTTGGAGGCTAACTTTACAGCAAGTAATCCGAGCTATTGATAAGATGTCTGAGTTACTTGGCCGTGGCTTTGTTCTCTTAATCTCAGCAAACAGTATCTTTGCAATATCCAGGCAGTGGGGATCTGCCAGTCTGCCTAGACCAGCTGTCTCGGTTGCACTAGGTTGAATCATAGATTTTCCACTAATCATGGAGTTTGATGACAAGATGCGTCTCTTCATATTCTGAGCATTTCTGTTCCTAATCCTATATGCTACAGATCCAAGACCCTTCTTGAATTTCGGACGGCTAAGTCTTCCTGACTTTAGTTTATAAGCATAGAAACGGATGCCTCTCTTTGAGATATGAGAGCCAACAGAATTAGGACCCATGTGAGCAGCCTGATGATGGCGGCCTAGATCAGGTAACAAATCAAATTTCAGGCCACAAAATCTGCAGATGAATTTTCGGAAACCAGACTGGTTCTCAAAATTAATATTCGGTGAAGGCACTGACTTGCCAATATCAGGCTTCTCTGACGAATCTTGAGTTACGGAAAAATAATGCTGTTGAGCAGTATGAGACAACCTAAAACTGGCAGGATGTGTGGCGAGCACGTGGGACCATAACTCCTCTGAGTTCCCAAAATTGCTAGTACAAGGAATACACTGGAAAAGCATGCAATTTTCAACAAACTGCGAATGATGCCTCTCCTGCATGTGAGCTTCCAAAACTTTCTTATTAGTAAAAGATTCCAGGCAGAGAGCACATGCATAACCCCTGAACAGCCATTGAGCTTCCTTTTTATGATTGTCCATCCAGTGTGTGCCAAGCACATGCTCATCTGGAAACATTTCTGAGCAAATTTTGCACTTAATGATATCATTGTGATCCTGGTCATTATCTGTAATCCTTAATATTGGACTTGGTTCTTCGATGTGAGGGGAAGCTTGTGCATTTTCATTAGAGCTAAAGCCCCAAGCACTTTTCAGCTTCTCCTTTTCAGTACAAACTAACTTCATTAAGAATTCACCAACCTTTGCATCTTTAGAAGCTTCAGATATGGCCCATTGGAATTGCACTTCTTTTGGGACTGGGTTTCTCAAAGAAAGTACACTTTTTAAAAGTCTATAGAAAATCTCACAAGCTTGATGTAAATGCAACTTTTGATCCCTGGAGTGGCAATCCTTCAGAAGTTCTAAGAATACTTCCTTTGAAATTATCCTACTCTTGCCATTTCTCGCACGTTTAAGCCAGCTTGGTAAATGCTTCTCACAGTATAATGAATATCGTTTTGGACCTTCTAGGCAAGGCTCACTTCCATGTGGCCACAATCCAATGCAATGCATCTCCGAACCACTAGGCTTAGCCTGCAAATGCTGAGGAGTCTCAATCAAGTTGTTTCTATTGCAAGATGCTCCACCAAGAAATGAGATGGGATCAACTTGGATCGGAGCTTCAACTTCTCCAGCGAGAATAATATCTATGCAACTTGAAGTATCCAATCTAAGGACACTGTCCTCATGCTTTCGCTTGTGTTTACTCTCCGGCAAACTGGAGCCTGATCCTTTCTCATCATGGGGCCTGTGTTTCTTACAGAAAGAAGAGCCACACAAGGCACGATGCTTACATTTAGTCCCAAGAACAGTGGTCCCTCCACACATAGGTGTATCAGCATGTGGCGATGCTTCCGCCTTAGTGGAGCTACTAGCAAAACGAGAGGCCAAGTGCACACAACAGTAAACATCACCATCACTTGCCCATCTAACACATTGTCTTCCTTTGGCTTCAATAAAAGCCACGCACTGGCGATTCTTATTCCCGTGATCAAAGGAATTACTAGTAACAACTCCATTTATAGGAGTCAGTTCCGCATCTTCCATCTGAATGACCTCAGAATTGTTTGCTTGAACAATAATCTCTCCCCATCTATCTGTCATACTACCGGGAGAACCACTTTGAGGAGCCTCTCCAAGAGAAATGTCATCTTTTGTAGGTTCAGAATCCAACAGTACATTGTTGGATACACTATGGCCACCAAGAACACTAGTGTCAATTCCAACAGTGACAGCCTGAGGTGACTCTTGAAATTCCAGCGGCAAAGCATGTGCCTCAGCACGACGAACTTCAAGCTTGGGCCTCTTTCTGCTCTGCTGAAACTCCACCGCCAATGGGCTACCATTATTCGGCTGTTCAACATCTACACTATCAGATACAGGATGTGAAACTGAAAACCATTTCATAACCTCAGATCTGCAGTTCTTCCACTGAGAGTTCAGATCAAGATATAATGCTTCAATTGGAAGTGAGTTCAACTCATTCCAAAGAAGAGAATCAGTCAATTCCTGAATTACAAGATAATAGGTTCAGTCTGTGTCAAGATATGAATATCAGAAAATTCAAAAGATTAGTTCAGCATCCATTCAACCAAATGAGGCTTCCACTAATATCATAAAATGCTATTAAGGTAGAAATTGTTATCAGTGAAGCAGCAAATACAATCAAGGATTAACGAGTTCACATAAAGGAGGTGAAAGTACAAGTCAGTAACTGACACAAATACATCATTTCCCCTATC